GACCCTTCTGCCCTGGCCTGGGGGAGCCAGCTGTGGCACAGGCTAGTTCCTTGCTGGCTCTATTGCTCTCCGGATGCAGCCTGGAGCCCTGGAGGAACCAACCTCTTGTGACTCCAGTGAGCCCTGTTCTCGTCTCCCCAGGACTCCAGCCTCAGCCCAGATGCCGGTGGGGGGGGGAGGCAGGACCAGGCCCTGGAACTTAATATCTCAGGAGATACAAGCAGGGGATTTGCAAAGGGGAGGGGCCCAGCTGCGGTATTTTGGGGTCAGGCCAGGGGGACAGCAAGGCAAAGGGGGGAATTCAGAGGAGAAGTGCTTGCAGCAGCCCCAGCAATAGGTGACCAAGGTGGGACTGTGGCGAATCGCTTTATCCCGCGGGGGGCTGGAAGGAATTGGAGGGAGGGGTCTGAGAGAGCAGGGGAAGGCTGGCAGGACATGGGGAGAAGGGCAGAGAGAAGCTAGGTGGGAGGTGAGGAATCTGGGTGTGAATCCCAAGGGCTGCATGGCTGGAATGAACAGTCCCGGCTCCTCTCACAGATGGGCTGGGGACTGAAGAAACAGATTCCAGATGTGTCTGTGTCTGCAGGTTTTCTTTACCAGAACGAAGCATAAAGAGAAACGGTCGGACGATGGTTCTGGGAGAAGGACGGCCCGGAGTAGAGGGGGCAAAACGTCACCCGAAACGGGCCCGTGTATCAAAGAATAACTCCATTCGCTGAACCCCCTGGGACCAGCGTGTTATCACGCAGGGGCCTCCCTGAGCCCTGCCCTGTGTTTGGAGAAATCACCAGCTATGTGCACATCATTTATAGGCATCCTAAGAGGTTTCATCCGGCTGATTCCAAGGGACAGAAATTAACTGTCGCTGGGGATTGTTTTCTATAGTGAGGGACTGAAAAGAAAGGGGACAGTAACTGTGTTTTATTTAAAGCAACAAAGAGTCCTGTGGCACCTTATAGACTAACAGACGTATTGGAGCATAAACTTTCGTGGGTGAATATCCACTGCGTCAGGCGCATGTAATGGAAATTTCCAGAGGCAGGTATAAATATGCAGGCAAGAATCAGTGTTTTATTTAAATGTCCAAATTACCTCCTCATCCATTTATATAATCCAGATCCTTCACACACACACAGAGACACACACACACACACAGAGGACACCCTGTTGCCAGCCCCAATTGCAGAGAATTACTTTAGAACGGCCCCTCACTGCTCTTGACATTTCTTCGCGAGGCAGAACCCCGGCCATTCGTTAATTTCCCTTTGAGTTCACTGCACTCTGTTGGCGTCTTAACCAAATGTTACAGCCACGAGAGAGCGCGCTAGGCTCTGGCAGAGCTCCCTGAGCTGAACGCCCGTCTCTCTCCAAGCCACTGGCAGCTCCAGGGGCTGCCAGATCCCTTCGGACTGTGACGGTGAGCCAGCTGCAGCTGGGCAAATGCTGTCTTAGCTTCTCTGGGCGCTGGCTGCGGCTGCTGCTCCTCCTTGTAAGGACGAGCTGTGCTCTGCTAGTGCAACAAGTCCTCCAGTCTCAGCGCTCTCACCATCGCTCACTGATTCACACACTCAGTCCCGGGGTTCCCATCCCCCTGTGCTCAAACACAGGCTCTTCCCTGCCCATCACCCGTCTCTCCCAGTCCCTAAACACTGGATCGCCCCAGGTCCCTGGGGGTCTGTGTGAATAAAGGGTACAAAAGGTTCCTCGGATACCCAGTCCATAGGACACTGGCTGGGGGACCAGGTAAGATGAGGGAGAAGATTCCAGCTGGGACAGGGAATCCCAGCAGCCGGGAGGGTGGACGGGCTGATCGGGGCTTTTCCTTTGCTAACCCAGGCAGAGCCAGAGGAGGGCGGAGAAGACTGGAGCTGGCTGCTGTCTCCTAACTCCAGAGATGGGAAACCAGACTCTGAAAAGTCAAATGATGACGACATTTGTGGAATCAGCAAATATATTAACTGTCCCAAACCTTAGTTAATGCAGAGCTAAGACTGCCCAGCACGACCTTGTGCCCTTCCCCAGTGCGGAGAGTGGCTAAACCTACACCTCTAAAACCCAAGAAATGAAGGTAAATGTCATTCCCACCACGCAACCTTAACTCTGCCCTCTTGGAGCTGGCAACAGCCACTGAGAACGGTTCAGTAACGG